AACGTTCATAATAATATTTTCAATTTCTGGGTCGATATCGTTTTCGGTTGGAGGTGAAGTAGTTTTTTGTTTTTTTTTGGAAATATTATTTTCGTTTGTTTCGGTTGTTTTTAAAGAAGAGTTTGAAGTGTTGGAGTTGTTGACTGTGATATTTCGTTTGTTTCGTTGGTATGTATTTTTCGTTTGTAGTTTGGAAGAAGTCGCTCTAGTAACTGGCATAATTTTTATTTTTTTTTTTTTTTTTGTGTCGATCTTTTTTAGTGGACTGGACGTTTGGGAGAAAGAGTTTTTAAAAAAAAAAAAAAAAAAAAAAAAAAATTTATTAAATGTTGTCCTTCGCAGTTTTATCATCAATAACAGACCAACCAATCATTGGTGAGACAATCACTTCATTAGAATTCTCGAGGAATTCTTGTTGCGCACCCAAAAATCCAGCAACAAATTTTAAATGTAATTCATTATCAGTTGTAAATGGGACTCCAACCCTTCCATCAGGAATACCTTTGGCTTCAATTGAATTGAAAGTTACCTTTGTTCCATCCTTTTCATAAGGATAAAAGGCCATCATCCATCCACTAATATCTCTAGGGCCTGAACCAAATGATTCATTCGAGGCTATCCTTGCCCAGAACTCTTCATCAATTTTACCTTTATAAGTTTCGATTAACTTGCAAATAACAGGCTCCAATCTATCCAACCAAAAATCGAGATCTAAATTTAGCTGTCGTAATTGAATGACTTTTTCTTGTACCTTTTCCCAATCTTCTAAAGTACCCTCAAGAGTGACTTTAGGAATTCCGCACAAGGTACATATTTTATATGAGAAATATGCTTTAACCATATCCAAAAGAACGATACGACTAGCTGTAAGTGAATTTTTTGTTGTAGTAGAAAAATCACATTCTAAAAGAGATTTTAAATCAATTTTTTCTATAGCTTGATCGGTTTTCACGACCAGTCTATTTACCACTTCAGGCCAATCTCCCTCAAAGCAAGAATTTAAAATATCACCGGCATAAACACATATCTCTTTCTTGCCTTCATGATTGACAAAATAATAACGGAATTTTTCTGCATTATAATTAATATGATGACTAACTCCTTGTGCGATAGTTAACCAGATATCATCAGGCGATAAACGTAAATGTTGATGATTGTTGTAAGCATGAAGAATGGCCGCTGCCAATCCATGAGAGGTCATCGTATATTTAAGCAGAGATTGTTTGCTTGAAGGAGTTTCATCATAATCAATTGAGATAGCATAAACTTTTGTATCAGGAAAAAGTTGAGAGATTCTATCTTTTATTAAAACATGTTCGTGAAGGTTGTTCTCGAGATTAATTTTTTTAGTGAGGATACGAGTACTCATTTTTTTTTTTTTTTAAAAAAAAAAAGAAAAAATTTTATAAGCAATTACCAAGTTGGAACGTTTTTATTGACGAAGTCATATTTGGCAAATTATTTTCAGCCTCTGCGGAACTAAACCATAGTTGGTTGATGATTTTTAAATATTAACCTGCTGATATATGATAGTAAATCATATGATTCCGTTTATAGCAAACCACCCATATTATACCCATCGGTTTAATTTATCGCTCAATTGTCCAATTGCTAACACTACTGACTGTGATAAAAATATATGAATGTTCAGAAAATATCCATTATCTAATTTTTACAAAGTACATTGAAATTTGACATCTATCAATGATTTGAGTATTTTCATTTATGTTTATTTTTTTCCTGAACTGACATTTTGCAAATGCAAATAAAAATACAACTTTAATCATCTGTTCATTTTACTGTCGATTTCTACGATCTTTACATAATGTTTAAAATACACAGTTTTATTAAATAGTTATTTATAGTAGAATTATTTGTAATTCACATTATTTTCGAATTAGATCCTAGTTTAACGTTAATATGTATACTTTTTGCGGAACAAGAAATTTTCACGTGACACAATTGATATATTGAGTAATAGAATTTTATGATTTTAAAGTATAATTACCAAAAAATATATTTTTTATAATTTCCTTCCTTTCTACTTCAAAGCGCCCATTCTTCTATATTCAATATACTAAGTATGTAACTGAACGTGCAGAGATAAAGTATAAGGATGTTCATATTCATAACATGTAATTTACAATGTGATCGAAATAGGGTTGCCGAAACTTGATTCTTTTGAATCAACTCAAACTGTTAATCTAAATAATCTTCTGCTTCAGTGTACCCACGTAGATGTCATTCTTAAAGGGAAGGTTCGTTATTTGTTTGTTTTTCTTTACTTACCATTTTAAATTTAATTAATTAAATTTTTTTTAAAAGAACAAAAAAAATATATCGTTTCTTCGCGCCCATAATTTTGTTTTTTTTAGATACTGCGGCAAACTACTTTCACAGATATTGTAGATACTGTATCGCGACAACGCTCAGTTTTACGGAGATTTTAATTTATTGCAAATTTTATGGTTAGAGGTATTTCGCATAGATCTAAAAAATTAGCTATGAAAACAATTCCTGAATCTATATCAATCTATATGACCAGATTATGAATAAATTAATAAATATTTATTTTATTTTTATTGGAAATTAATTCATTTTATAATGTAGGTCATTCGTTGAATTATACAATAAAATTATATCATTGTAACTGATTAGATAATCGAATTTTACGATAGTGTTTATAAATAAAATGCGTATCCCGTCTTATTCGTCTTATTCGGAGAAAGATTTTATATCGAAGTACTGCATAAAAAAAGGGAATAAAATGGGTTAAGACAAAGATTCCGTATTAAAAATCATTTATGGCTTTTCTTTTGATATTAAGAAACACTTCGTGATACGCTGGTTTAATCTTGGTTTAGTAAATGTATTCAGTCATCCTTATTTTCTTTCCAGCTTGACGATTTCCAATAATGAATTGTTGGATTTGTCAGCTTACTACAAGTTATTTGGATAATTCATACCAAGTCACATGATAATTCTATATATAAAATACATTATATTTCTTAAAATACAAGTCCGCTTCAGAAAAAGTTCAAATGCAGCATACGAGGTACGAGGTATTTTCAATTAGCAACATGATTGGTGGAGATTTTGCTGAGTTGAGCTCAACAAATATTGCTTATTGAAAATACAAGTAACATAATAATGCACGATAACTTTATAATAAATTCGTTATACGCAAAATTATATCCAGTGGCGACTGTATTATCCATCATATTTCTAATATTGAATTTTCGGTTCAACGGTTATGTTTGTCAAATTAAACTTAAACAGTTATTTATGTTGATTTCTTCAATTAATAATTAATAATTAATAAAAATATCAAACAAATAAAAAAAAAATAAGCAAGAAAAAAATAATCACCGATTTTTACGTGACTATCCAAAAGAAATCGCGTTTTCAACTACATCTTCTGACCGAAAATCACAGATTTCTTAATTAATATTTTTAAATCTTAAAATACGAAATTCTTATTGCATAATACCATAGATTAAAAAGTAAAATCCTTTGAAATTAAATTGTGAAAGTTTTTGTTATCCGATTATTCGAACCCGTAAATTCTCTGAAATGAAAAAGCTCTCCTAGTAAAGTATAATCGGCAGATCGACCGAACCAAAAAACTATCGGGCGAAAAAAGTTTCCAGGCCAAAAATAACGAATTAAATTTGTAAATCAAGATACTAATTTGATTATAAAATCTTATTTTAAACATACTGTAGAAGTATCAAATATTAAAATCAATTTATGAGATATCGTAAATTATATGATCCGTAATGTGATTTTTATTGGCATATAAATAATAAGCTTTTTATTTCTCTCATGTGATGATGGCATGATCTGTACTTTTTTTTATATATACAGTATAAAGCATGAAGTGATCCCTTGCTGCGCATATTAAAACAATTAATAAAGTTTCCCTCATGATTTTTTAATTCTGGTATATTATAATTATATACTATTATCTACACATTTGTCAACCAAATCAAATGATCGACCGCAGTCATAGGTCAAGCATCAAAAATACATACTTAATTAAATACGTATTTTCGCTACAACAGATCCATGGAATAATAATTAATTTTTGCTAAAATACGCAGTGAAATTCATATAGAAATATCATCATTCATTTGTGTAAAAAAAAAATATTTTTAAATTATAATAAAATCAATCAATCGAATAATAATAATTTATTATACAGAAGGCTCTTAATTAAATTTATATCTTGTATTATAAAGATAAACGATCTGCATCTGAGAAATCATCCTTTTTCGGTACATTTTGATACAAATTTTATGAGGATATATTTATAATGAATCGAAAAAGTAACGTCTCTACATGTTCCAATAATCGGCTCAACATCAGTGATGGCAAAATTATAAGGTCATTTACTATTTTTTAAATGACTTAAAATTTATAATAAAAATGAGGTCATTTGATGTCATTTGATGAAGTCATTTAAGGTCATTTGCCAACACAGTCTTGACCTTTCTATTCGTTTCCTTGATCTTATTCATCACCACCATTTCATCTATCACCACTTTTTTTTCATCATCATCATTACCTCACCACCTTATTCTTTTCTTTATCACTTTCTCGGTCTTCTTTCATATCTTCCGTATTTTGGTTTTGATTTCGCAACCCTTCTCGAATTTGTAATCTGTTAGACTTCCGATTGCGTGTTGCATTACACTGGAGAAAAATTGTGCTCGCTGGAAAACTGCGCGATATTCCTTAGCGATAACTTAAGTTTCTTCTTGTCCGAGGCGGCGTATTTTGTTATATTTTCTCTGTTATTCTCGAAGAAGGTTTGAATAGACGATTTTAACGCTTTTTTTTTTTTTTTTTTGAGTATGTTGGAAAGGGGCTCAGTTTCAATAAGGTATTTAGCGGATTTTTTTTTTATCCAAATCGAAAGTTTAGTTATCTTGTGAGAGTTTGAGTATATTGTAGTTATTATATCGATATAAAAATGCAATAAATGCAATGATCTATTGTTGAATGAACCACGTGACATGACTTTTGTATCTTCCAATGACGGGATTTTTCTTCCCTATGTCCTTTGATATTTAACAATTTTGGAAACAAAGTTTTCTAGCCGAAACTCCTTGTGTGTTTGATAGATGGACGGATAACCAAGAAGCTGAAAAAACATGCTTTGTGTATGTTTCGGAAGCGGTATACCGAAGATTCATAAGAAACACGTCTCGTGTGTGTCTGGACTTCGGTCAATATGGGATCCCTTACTCAGGATTACTTATTTCATCTTTCAGTAAGGTTGAGTGAGCCCAGACGCGTCGTTAGCTGAGTTTAAATGTAGCAACTTGTATTGCCAAATTAACTAAAAGTGAACTTTTCACAATTTCTCAAAAAAAAGTTTTTCGCAAGAGCCGGAGGTCGTTGCTGACTATGGGCATGCATGGAATAAATATCATAATCATTACAAAAAAATGAATATCCTCGTAATAAGTTATCGAAATAGATCTAGATCAATTTTTTTTTTTATTCTTTCTGATTCTAGGAGCAACGTCGAACATTTTATAAGTTTGGACCTAAGAGCGAACATATTTTACTTGTATGTTAGACTGACCATTCTAAAAGCATTTTATTATTTATAACTTTTGCACTTTACAACGTCAAACTGCAGAACAAGAACGCATTATTGATATCATTCAAGAGATCAAGAGAATATCGAATTTATATTAGGCAATTGTGTAAGTAAATACCAGCTTTCTGATTTATTGGTGTTTATGAAGGAAATACTATCTTTAGAGAGCTAAAATATGAAGTGATTGTTGCTCAAGAACTACCATGATGCGTATACTGAAGTTTTCCGTCATCTGGAACGTTGGATTTGTCGTTGATTAGACAAGATGTTCCTATAGCGTCGATCTTTGGTAATGAAGATCTATTTACATAAGCAGATTTTGACGCATCATATATTCCATAACGATGAATTCAAAGAGCAAATAAATATGATGATGGATGATTTTATTTAGTACATATAGATCTGGGACCCAATTTCAATCCGCAACAACTCGCTTCCCGCAAGGGGAATTATCCGTTAAATCCAGACATATACTGATGATGGTTTTCAACTTATTAGAATTATTGTTACAGCAAACAACTGCCCATTGCTAATTGCACAATATTCCGTATAATCACAGATGAATTCACTGGTAGGTGGAAACTGAGGTACAGGATCAAGAAATGGAGGTTGATGATGGGATCGAGAAGAGGAAATAGAAACGATTCCTTTGGAATTGTTGTACCCAAATGCGTTAATGTCCGAAATGATCATTTCGGATATCCCAAATCGGAATGCGCATTTGGGATATCCCAAATGATCATCTGGGATAAATGCGCATTTCATGTCTTCGCATTTGGGATATCCCAAATGCGCATTCCGATTTGGGATATCCGAAATGATCATTTCGGACATTAACGCATTTGGGCTACAACAGAATCAACTCATCACAATACCAGCAGAAGAAGCGGGCTAATGAAGCCATGTACACTTCCTTCAGCAAAAAATCTAATAAACCTATTCCTTTAACTTTTAAAAAGGCTTATTCCATGAATTGTCTTCTGATACCACTCGTATTTCTGAAATTAAGGATAGAAGGACTCCATTGAGAATCTGTACGAGAGGTTGAGGATTCCCGAATTTGTATTTAAAAAATCTCCAATTCTGAGGAGCGAAATGTAAATGCATGTCACGAGGTCTTAATGGCCTATTATTACTTTGGAGAGGAAACTAGAGAAGCGTCACGGTTTCTACAAAATCCAAGGAAGAGCACGAGGGCTCAGAAGGTCAATTGTGAGGTCATAGAAAGCCAGAAAGGTTTATGATCTCTTTTTCCGCATTAGTGATGATAAAATTCATCTACAGCGCCTTCTATTCATCCGATATTGTGTGTTAAATGTTGTAATCACGTGATCATTTTCGTATCCGGACGTTTGACCGAAAGCCATTTGACCGAATATTATTTATCATCCGTATGCATAATATAAATAACAGTTTTATAGTAACCGTATCAATTGATGTGTGATGTTTAATGCGGTGACAAATAGATTCGGTCAAATGGCTTTCGTCAAACTTACCGTAACCCATTTTAATATGAAACATTTACAAGGACGCTATGTTGATCTTTTGTTAGAATCGGAAATTTGTACTACTCTATTACTATATAAATTATAACATTATTGAAATTATATCGATATTCTTCTTAAAATGTCAAACCAGGATGTAAATTTACTAATTGAGAATGAAGATGGTAAAATCATTGTTTATTTACCTCGTTTTATATTAATTATAGATTGTAAGTTATTAATTTCTGCTATTTATTAATCTCTTCAATTAAAATTCTTTTTTATATAACAGATAGTGAGTTATTTGATCTAGTTTTTAGTGATATATGTATAATTCAAAATAACTAACCTTTTATAATTATTTAATCAACACATATAGAAAGTAAGTTATTTTTTAGGTTTTAAATTTAAATTTTTTTTTTTACATTAATTTTTAAGAAAATTTAATATTACAGGATGTAAGTTTGTTTAAACATAATTGATATCGATAGCATATATTGCAACACATTAAATGTAATTGCAAGTAAAATATTTTTTTAAAAATTTTTTTATTGATGTTATAGCTCGTAAGTATTTTTCTATAATTTTTTTTTTTTTGTAATTTAAACAACTAATCTATTTAATCAAAAAAATTGTAAAATAATTGATATATTACAGTAGGTAAGGTAATTTTATTTTATAGAGTTTTCATTATATTAATTCATTAATTTAAATAAAACTATTTTTTTATTATTTATGAATTTAGAATATTATATTTTTCCATTAATTTAAATTTATTAAATTTTTATTTTGTATAATATTTAATCATCAAATTACAGATGGTAAATTATTTTTATTAATTAATATTGATTTTAATATATTTATAAATAATAATTTTATTTTAATTTAAATTTTGCTATACTTATTATATATTTTATATAGTTGGTAAGTAATATTGTTTTATTTATTCTTATTTTTTTAATCTTATTTATATTTATTATTATAAATTTAAAATTTAATTTAAAAATGTTTAATATACAGATGGTAAACTATTTTTTATTATATAATTTAATTATTTAAAAGTTATTTTTTATAAAAAGAAATTAAGATTATATTATTTTGTATTAATTAAATTAATTCTTTTTTATTTATTATAGAAAGTAAGTTTGTTTAGTTAGTTTTTAAAAAATAATTTTCTGTATTTATTTTTAACTACACCAAATTTTTTATATATATTGGTTTGGATCAATATTAATTTATTAAAATTATTTAATATAATAGATAGTAAGTTATATTATTAATTTAATATTTTATTTAATTGATTAAAATTAATTAATTTTTTTACCATTTTAAATTTACTAATATTTTATTATATAAAAATATTTAATGTATTTATACGTAAGTTACACTTATTATTTTATTATTTTTAAATTATTTAAATATATCTTAAATTAAAATATATTCAATATTAATAATATAAATTATTTATAATTATTATATTATAGCTTAAAAATTATTTTTTATAATTATAATTATAATTTATTAAAATTTTATATTATAAAAGGTAAGTCATTATTTTTTATAATTTTAAAATTATATTACTAATTAATATTAATTATATATATATATATTTTAGCATTTTATTGCTTAATAAATTTAGCAAAATATGATAATGAAATTGCACAATATACTTTAGCTAAATGTTATCATTATGGATGGAATATTAAAAAAAATTTAAAGATAGCATTTTATTGGTATCAAAAATTAGCAGATCAAAATAATAGTAATGCACAATATAATTTGGCTGAATTTTATCAAAATGGTTGGGAAATTAATAAAAATTTAGAAAAGGCATATTATTGGTATCAAAAATCAGCTAATCAAAATAATAGTAATGCACAAAATAATTTAGCTAAATGTTATAAAAAAGGATATGGAATTGAAAAGAATTTAAAAAAAGCATTTTATTGGTATCAAATATCTGCTAATCAAAAAAATAGTAATTCACAATATAATTTAGGTAAATTTTATAAAAATGGATGGAGTATTGAAAAGGATTTAAAAAGAGCATTTTATTGGTATCAAGCATCAGCTGATAAAAATAATAGTAATGCACAATATAATTTAGGTGAATTTTATCAAAATGGATGGATTATTAAAAAGGATTTAGAAAAAGCATTTTATTGGTATCAAAAATCAGTAGAAAATGATAATAAAAAACCATTTGATTGCTTAACAAAAAGTAATAGTAATAATGTACAATATAATTTGGCTATATTTTATCAAAATGGATGGGGAATTGAACAGAATCTAGAAAAAGCATTTTATTTATATCAAAAATCAGCTGATCAAAATAATAGTAATTCTCAATATAGTTTAGGTGAACTTTATTATTATGGAATAGGTATTAAAAAAGATATTAATAAAGCATTTAAGTGGTATGAAAAATCAGCTAATCAAGAAAATAGTAATGCACAAAATGATTTAGGATATTTTTATGAAAAAGGTATTAAAGTAGTAAAAAATTTAGAAAAAGCATTTTTTTGGTATCAAAAATCAGCAGAAAAAGAAAATAAAATTGCACAATGTAATTTAGCTATTTGTTATCGATATGGTTTAGGAATTGAAAAGAATTTAGTTGAATCATTTAAATGGTATGAAAAATCAGCTGAAAATGAAAATGAGTTTGCACAATATAATTTAGGATATTTTTATGAACGAGGTGTAGTGAATAAAAAAAATCTTAAAAAAGCATTTTATTGGTATCAAAAATCTGCAGAAAATGAAAATGAATTTGCACAATGCAAATTAGGATTATTATATGAAGAGGGTATAGGAATTAAGAAAGATTTAGAAAAGGCTTTTTATTGGTATCAAAAGTCAGCAGAAAATGGAAATAGAGATGCAAAAAATAATTTAGTTAAGTGTTATGAATATGGTATAGGAATAAATGAAGATTTAGAAAAAGCATTCGAATGGTATCAAAAGTCAATAAAAAATGAAAATAGTTCTGAAAAATGTGTTGGAAAATATGTAGATAACAACAGTAAAAACAATAATGATGCAATTGAATTTATTAATAATTCCTTGGAAAATAAAATAAAATTTATATCCTTTAATGAGTTAATTGATTCAGAACCATTAGATGAAGGTGGATTTGCAAAGATTATAAAAGCAACTTGGTTAAAGACAAATGATTATATTGTTTACAAAAAATTAACCAACACTGAAGCATTAAAATACGATAAATTAAATGCATTTATTTATGAATTAAAAGTACATTTGCGTCTTAATTGTAGTAATCGAATTATACGTTTCTTAGGAATAAGTCAAGGTATTTAATATAATAATTAAAATTTTCATTTTTTTTTAAAAAGAAATCTCATTATAGAATAATTTTTGCAGATAATATTACAAAAGAATTTCTAATTGTAATGGAATATGCTAATGGTGGAAATCTTCAAAATTTTCTTAAATATAATTTTACAAATTTAACTTGGAATGATAAGAAGAAATTAGCATTTCAAATCGCAGATGGATTGAATTACTTACACAATGAAGATGTCTTACATAGAGACCTTGTAAATAAAGCGTTATTACTTTTATAATTATGTAATGACACTATTTATTTTATTAATAATTTACAATTTATATTTTATTTAGCATTCTAAAAATATACTTATTCATGAACGTAATGCCAAAATCACCGATTTTGGTATTTCAAAAATTGAAAATAATTCCACTATAGTCATCGGAACCTTTGGTAAAATTGCCTATATGGAACCACAAATACTTAAAAATCTAAAATTTCAATATATTAAACCTTCAGATATTTATAGTTTGGGTGTATTAATGTGGGAAATTTCTAGTGGGCATCCTCCATTTAGTGAGTATAATAACGATATGTCAATGATTATTGCTATAGTTAATAAAATAACTCGCGAGGATGTTGTACCAAATACTCCTGAGGATTATGAAAAACTTTACAAAAAATGCTGGAGCCAGGAACCTGAGCAAAGACCAACTATTATAGAAGTTTTGGAAGTATTTTCAAAGATGGGCTTTAGAACGAGTATTAAGGATGAATCAGCAAAACGTATGTATTTGTATAAGTAATTGATATTTCTATAATTTTATTTTAACTCATTCATTCATAATGATTTATATAAAAATTGTGATAGCAAACGATTCTGATTCTGAATCACAAGTTGACTCAGAAAACGTTCAAGATGATATAAAAGATTTATCTGGTATTGAAGGTTTATCTGGTATGTTTGTTTATCAATTTAAGTTTCTTATTTTGTAAATTACGTGCATTTTAATTTATATTATTTATATTATTAGTAACAGACTATTAATATGCCAAATATAAGACATGTCAATGGATGTTATTATCGATATTATTAATTCAATTCAATTTGTTTAATTCATATATTTTAAAAAGTTTAATTGAACACTGTATAGTAGCAAAGTGCAGTTTGTAATCGTTTAAACAAAATTTTTAAATAAATAAATAAGATACATCATAACTACTGCGCCAATGTAAACTATATAACCTCTGTGATTATTTATATGATCGAATTTAAATTTTAGTAAGAAATTATCAATGATAAATATCAACTAATAATCGTTCAAGTATAGTCTATTCTCTAATAATTTCAGCAGATAATAATACTTTGCAAAGCTAGTTATATCGTACTTTTTTAAAAATAATAGGAAAGAAAAGTTATGAAATTTTAGTCGGCGGAAAAAACAAAAAACAATTCTTTTACTAATTATTTAAAACTAACACAAAAAATTCGTAATGTAAAAAAACAAAAAATAGTGAAAGTGGAAGGAAAGATAATTACCGAAATATAGCGGCAGCATCTTTTATGGTTATGGTAAGAATCTTTGTCTTGATCATTTCAGATTCGCAAAGCGGTGATGTGAAACTTGTAAATCAATTATCACAAAGAACGTGTTTTGGATTTCGATTTTTTTATCTCATGTCGAATAATTTTGGTTAATAAGCCTTAAAAATTATAAAACACTAAAATAATTAATTTTGCTTAAGAATAAAGAATCATCCTGAAATGTTAGAAATATTATTAACCGCTTGGGTCTTTTTTTAAAAAAGAAAATTTTAAAATTAGGTTCATCCTAAAATTAGTAAAATCTCGTGACACATTGCAAAGTTTAATGCCGTAATTTCAAAATTTCATTATATAACGATCCCCTAAAAAAAAATGGTAATTTTGAAAAATAAATTGATTTATTATTCTTTTAAAAAAATTTTTCCTTCAATTTCTTATCTAAAAAAAAAACATTATCCCTCACAATTTTAAAAATTTTTAAGTAAAGTTATTTTTATTGTGCTGGTACAGTACTTGCTAAAAATAATGATCTTTTGAAATTATAAAAAAAAAAATTATTTAATGTAAAGATATTAATTATTTAACAAAGAAAATCACTCCTGTCACGTCTTTTTTTTTATACACTAACCCAATCAGTGTTTGCAAATGACTTTGAAATGGCCTTGAAATGACTTGAAATTTATAATAAGAATAATATCATTTAAAGTCAAAATGACCAAAAGAATAGTAAATTACCTTATGATTTGCCATTACATGTACTTATTCAGTGCCTATAATAGAGGGAAATTCTTTAACTATTTAGATTTGTCATTTTGTTTAATTCTTTGCAGTTGTATCAATTAGTTATAGTAGGTAATCTATTAAATTTTGTTATTGTTATGGAACGTTCTTATGGCTAGTTCTGTAAACATGGCAATTTGATAAAGGGACTTTTGTTTATTTTAATTTTTTTATTTAATTTAAACCAAAATAAACCAAAATAATAAATGATGACAAATGAATAATCTTTTTTAGTTCTTGCATCTTCGAATTAACTGCCGATGTATTACATTATATGGGACGTTCCAGACCGTCATTTTCTTAGATAAATATTAAAAAAAAAAAATAGAATGCTATATGGTGGCGGTGCTTCAGACCACCCAAGTATTTGGAATTCACTACAACGACCCTATGAAAAAAATCCCATACAGTTTTTGTGTAGCTTTTGTGCCAAAAAAAACACTACAATTTTCGGACAGTGCAG